TGGAATTTGATAGAGGAGCATGTCGGGTTAGTCTTCGACCATGGCGAGCTGGCAATTTTCTGGGAGGCGTTACATCATACCATCTGACTTTCAGCTAGACCATCAGTAATACCGTAAGTGGCGCCACGTCCGTTTATGTCAGCTCATCAAAGCTGGTTAGCTTGAATGGACACTTGGAGTAAACAGCTTATTATGTGGAGTTTGGTCATTTTAGGTAGAGGCATATGATGTGACTATCATGTGACAATTTATATTCCTACAAATAAAAGTACCCAATGGAGAGGTCAGAGGCATAAGTTAATCAAACCGTTTGCTGTACCTGTAAAAGTAATGCACAGTTAGCCAGTTTTAGTGCACACTGTTTGACAATGTTTGACAAAAGTTTTCTTTGTCCAAAAAAATTTAGAATATGCTCTAGGGTGACATCATGAAATGGGTGGCACCCACACAGGGAAATATTGTAGCAGTGAAGACAAGCTTCTGTCTTCAACAAAAACAAAACAATTAATATTTCCCAGTAGATAAAGATCCCATAGTGCAAAAGGCAACATATCATAATAATATATATGCATATAGTTGACTTTTGGAGGCTTAAAAAGGCTTGATAAAGCTTATAGTTTGAGTCTATCTCTATCTTATCTCTACAGTTATGCTGCTATAGGCTTAGACTGCTGGAGGACATAGGGACCGCATTTTATTATTCTGCCTCATTCTATCTCTATTGTCCAATTCTGCAGTATTTGTTAGTTTCAACCTTGAACTTTATGCTCTCTATTTTTTTCCTCATCATAGTAGCTTCATCTGATCTGATTTACACCAGATTCTTCTGATCGCTGCAGCAGTTTATAAATGGAAATGCTAATTTCACTGCTGTAAGCTAAATGTAACTATTTGCTAAAGCAGTTCTACTAATCAATCAAGCATTGAGTGCTGGTTTGTTTCCATTAAAACCAGTCCAGTCATCTTAGTTTACATACTCAACATTTCTCTCTAAATCAATGATGATTTGAGTAACAGTTGCGATGGAAAACACACATCCCTTTGTTTCCATCAGCGTTAGTTTGCCATCTACCGCCCGCCTAAACCTGATCATTTACATCCCTTCCAGTCCGCCTTAACAGGAGCCAGAACTGCGTCAGCCGCACAGGAACCGTCCAGCCTTACCCAGGCTGCTGTTATTATGCCACATTATTGCCACTTTGGCTTTTAAAAATCGAAATGTCTTCCTAACTGGACAGAGAAATAAAAACCAACCTTTGCTACCTTCTTTTTTTCTTCTGTCCCCCAATAAACAATCAGAGCTCTAATGGTTTTAAATTCTGCATTTGTATCAGACAGAGGTGTAGAAACATTTTTAAAGATGTTATTGAAAGATTTTTGTAAAACTGTTCTGCACTATTTAATAGGTTCCACTCTAATGATGAAAACTAATCATGTTGCGTTTGTTATTTTCTGCTTCTCAGCACCTCCTGCAGGACTGCAGGGAGAGAGCCTATAACCTTTCCCACAAAGAGCTTCCACTGAGGCCCAACTTTCTGCAGCAGCATAATAGAGTAAATGCCAGTATTGATCATGTCGGCCTATTTTTGATAGAATACATTTTCTTTTTTCAGATTTTAATAAAACGGTTGGGCCGTAGGAGAAGCTGCAGATGCATGGATTCTGTTAGTCGGACTGTTAGTTTCACCTAAAGACTAATCATGTGGATATAGTTTATGATTTATGATTTATAGTGGTCCGATATACAGGAGGTGTTTCAACAATAAAGAGCAGTCTTTATTTTTTTTCCTTTCAAACTTGGACAAGAACAAATAAAAGCACAGAATATCAACATTTATAATTATTTAATAACAAATAGTTGGGCACCATCACAGGAAAAAGTCTTTTTCTTTACATTTTGTTCAACTTAAAGCAGGACCTCAACATCTCTGCTCACGCACCTCTTTGAAACCTGCTGGAAGTTTTTTTGGGCAATGCATTTCTGCGAAGGACTCGCTGTAATTATATTCGCCCTGCTGCATTCACAGCCAACCAAGTACAAGGTTTAGTTTTAGCTGTTAAAAAAAGTAAAGAGTGTGACTCATCTGCTTGGTTCAAATCCTCCCCCGCAGCTCCATGACTCCACAGATATTCCTCTCCACTAATTTACATCAAGAGGTTCATTAAGTGCAGCTAGATTTATGAGTACTAACTGCAACATTTATTGCTCGACTTAAACTTTTTGTTTAATTTCAACTTCTTGTTTTCTAAAAAAGTGGTAAATATGTGGACTTTTTGCGGGCATATTTAAGAGCCAGGCGTGTTTAATCCCCATCTGCATCTTCCTGCCTCTCAATTAACCTAATGGAAGTGGCAATTAATTAACTCCTCTCAAAGAATGATTAAAAACCTGACAATCAAGTGGGTGGGAGGGGTTTTAGGTAATGATAATTAAGAGGTAATGATTTCCTGGCAGGAGAACAATTACAGAAGAAAGTAGTCTTAATCTGGATTAGGGTGTGTTTCTGTCAGGTGAAGACAGGCTGGCTGGGATGGATGCTGGGTTAAAGGTGAAGCCTTACCGTGCTCCTTTGGCTGCTGGCTCCTATTGGTCCTCTGAACACCCCCTTGATGCTCCTCAGCTGTCCATCACGCAGGTGGGTGGAACTGATCACGATGTAGTAGCACGCCATTGGATAAAGCGGACTTTCATGTAGTTAAATCTCTTCCTTCCTCCAAACTTCTCTCTCCTCCTTCTGCTCCTTGCTTCTGCTGCTTGTTGGCTTTTATCAGGGATGGAGAAGAGGAGGAGGAGCTCAGCTTCTCTCGGCTGCACTCATTTATTCTCTCTCTTCTCCAAGTTTTTGGGAAGTTTCTCTCGGCTCCAGCTTTCCTTCCCTGCCTGGATCCTCGTAAATATTTCACTCTCTGTTCCTCCTTGCCTTTCTGAAAGTCTTTCTTTTTCCCTTATTCTCTGAATTAGCTAGACGCCCCTGTCTGCAGTTAAATATTTCTCTTTAAGTCTTTTTGCCCATGCCTTATTCATCAATCTCTTCTTGTCACTGAGTCTGAATTTCTTGGTGGAAGTGATCAGTCTTGCAGTTGCTCTAACTATCTCCCATCCTCCTCCTGCTCCTCCTCGCATCCCCTGCTGTTTCTCCTCGCTCTTTGTCTCTGTTCCTCTCTAAGTGGCCAAGGAGGGCTACTTTTGCCCCTCATCTCAGAGCTGCAGAAGTCCTCAGTTCTCTCCGCCCTGTCAGGCGTGCAGCTTCTTCTCAGATGCTCCTCTCCTCTCCTCCGCTGCGCTGCTTGTCTTCTCGCTCTCCTCCCTCCCTCCGCCTCCCTGTCTCCGCTGATCTCTTGCTCCGTGGCCAGCGGAGTGGTTTGCTCCTCAGTTACCCTGCCGTTACCATCTGCCCTTTTAACACATGGAGTGCTGACGCTCTCTCTCTCTCCTCCATCCCCTCCCTGCCTCTCTCCTCTTGCTGTCTTTCTTCTCCCTTTAATCATCTCCTTCTCCTTTTCTCTCAAGCCAAAGGAGACAAGCTCCACCTACTGGTTAGCAGGGATCTCACAGAGCAAAGAGATGGAGGAAGAAGGGGAGAAGCAGCAGGAGGGAGTCTTTGGATCCCCCCATGCAGCCTGGACGTTTACCCACAGCTGCCATGAGCTCTGCTTAGTAAGAACCACAAGATGAATATTGAACCAGCTGCACTAAAAACCTTAAAGTGTTTCTCCTGATATCTTATTTGAGTTTTTGTTTTGTTTGTTTTTTAAGTGAAGACATAATCACATAAAAATAATTAGTTAAAACATCTAATTATTTGATCTTCCCACATTGGGGTGATGCTCCATAGATTAAAACATTAAGCATTTTGGTATTAGAAAGGGGCATTTTGTAAAGCGAATAAAGATTAGATGTAAGAATAGACTATTTGAGCAATATACATTGTTAGCAGAATCAACTTTTCAGCACAGCGTTCAACGTGACAGCATGAGACTCAGTCAGTTTTCGTGTTGTTCCTCCTTTGTTTGAAGGACACACCCTTTATTATACACGAGTGTGTTAAATTAGACAGGTCAC